TTTTTTTGGAGCTGAGGACCAAACCCAGGGCCTTGCGCTTGCTAGGCAAGTGCTCTATGTTTGTTTGTTTGAATCTATGTGTCATGGGTGTTTTTGTCTGCATGTGTGTCTGTGCACATCGTATACATACTTGGTGCCAGCAGAACAGAAAGAGGTGCCAGACTCCCCTGGAACTAACTAGACTTAGAGATGGTTGTTAGCTCCCATATAGTAGTTGGGAATCAACAATGGGTCTTCTGGAAGCTCAGCCAGTGCTCTTATCCATGGAGCCAGCTCTCTAGCCCCACTGCCTGACCTTTCCATTCCTACAACAGTTTGTAGACAGAGTGCTTCCTCCTGCCATCTCTGTCCTTATGGAGGTCTGTAGTGGGTAGGAACAGCATTACTTCTCTTGTTTATAAGCAAGGAGGCAAGCTCAGGAAGTGTCTGGTTAGGATCATACAGCTTTTAAAGCTTGAACCTGGCATGTCCACATGAACCTAGAGTGCTTGTCACTCAGACAAGACACTGATCATGGACATCTGCCATCACCTTGGTAGCAGAGGGGCCTCCTCAAACAGCCCATGTCCCATATTGGTCTGGCTGGGTTTGGTAGACAGTGTTTTGCTGAGGCTCTGCCTCCTAGACCTCAGTTTCCTCCTCAGTCAGAGTTACTGTACATTTACTGTGCAGATAAGAGCAAAGGACTCTTTTTAGAAACAGGAGCGAGTCAATGTGCATAAGTGTTTTCTGTCAGAATGAAGCTCAGTTGGACCTCTAGCAATGAGTCCTCCGTTAGCCAGTTCCGTATCAGTAGACTTTCTGTTGCAGACCTATAGTTTTCAGGAAAGAACGCTCCCCATGTGAACATGTGTAGACCTTTCTTGTTATTGTTCCCAATATAGTACAACAGCTGTTTGCACAGCATTTACCCGTGTTCGGCAGCGTAAGTGTTCTAGAGGTCACTAAAGTATACAGGAAGATAGCATCATTTAGATGTAAACACCATGGCATTTTATATAAGGGAGTTGTGCATCTCTGAGGATACCCTGAGATGACTATGTGACAACGCAGTGACTTCTAAGTTACCATCATGAAATGTATTCTTCGGGGGTAGAATTGATCCGTTTTTCATGTAACTCTGCCCTTTGCTCTGTTGTGGGACATTCCCATGATGTAAAGGTTGTCATACAGAACGCTTCGTGTCCACAGCAGTGGGAGGCACTGGGCAGACCCGTGCCTTCTGCTCGCTTGCTTGCAGAATGATCACCAGGCAGCTCTTGGCAGTTAGTGAAAACGTTTCCCAAGGAGGCACTCCCTCCCTCTCTGAACCACAGCCATGACAAGTGCAAGAGGATTATTTCAGAATCTACTTGGAAACCCAGTATAAACTTGCTACACGTCTCATGTCAGCTTTATAAGTGACTAGGAGATAAGCAGAGAACCCTTGTGTTTCTATTTTTAAAGTTAATTTGGTACATTTAAATTTTGTCTCTCATCTTCTGTTGTACATTAATGATTACAAAGTAAGTTTCAGTTGTCTAAATGAAAGGTTTGTTTAGAATTTCTTTGGGGGCATGCATCAAAGGTGCTTCTTTTTCTGTTCATAGAGGTATATAGAGAACCCCAACGTCATGGCCTGTTACAATGAACTGCTGCAGTTGGCATTTGGAGAGGTGCGATCACAAATGAAACTCAGGTAATTCTGTCCACTAAAATGCCCTCCAGACCCCAGGGAGAACTTGCAAGCAAACAGCTTTTGGCTGTGACTGATACCAGTTAAAGCAGGGGAGGTGTGAGTCGGCAGTCAGGAAAGTGCTTGCCATGTGCAGAGCCCCAGCAGCCACATGAAAGGACATGGTTCAAAAAATCACTTAAAATTATTTTCTATAAAGAGTGGCTGGGTCTTGAGGGAACTACAACCTTCTAGTCCCTGACAGAACATTCCCAGGAAAGTACATTTATGGTGATGGTTATACAGGAACCAGCTCTCCCGGTAGATGGTTCAGTTCTTTCTGTTCTGTGAAATGCTGGGCATGTGGTGAAGGAAACCAGTATCTGTCCTGAAGCGTATCTTCGTTCTGAAATGAAGCACAGTCAAGGAAATACATTTGTGACTGTTGGCTGCACACAGCATTCAGACACGGGGAACTGAGTCTGAGGCGTTTCTTATAAAGTGGGTGACAGGATTTACCGGTACCAGTTTTAAAAGAAATGAGAACAAGGTCTCCTTTGAGCACCATAAAATGAAACAAAATTTAAAACCCCTCACATAGCTTGACATTGGCTTCTGTTCTGTTTTACCCCTTCAAGAACTGCAGACCGCACCCCCACTCTCTGTTTAGGAATGAGGGCACTCACTCGGGTGCATGGGTCTTTCTGTAAGTGTGTGTGTGTTTCTGCTGGGTGTGCCTGTAATCCCAGCACTGAAGAGACACAAGGCTCCCTGAGGCTTGCTGACCAGAAGTCTAGCCACGTCAGTGAGTTCCAGGTTCAGTGAGAGCCCCTGACTCAAAACACACCATGGAGAACAGTCGAGGAAGTAGCAGTGTGGACTCTGGCCTCTAGGCATACATTTTATTTTAAAGATGTGATGGATGCGAGGCTGCCAGTGCTTCTCAGGCAAACTGTAGCTAGTCTTTCTCTGTCCTGCCAGCCAGCTCCCAAACAAATGACACAGAGACTTATTCATTATGAAACCTCGGTCAGTAGCTTAGGTTTCTTCCTAACTAGCTCTTATAACTTACATTAACCCATATTTTTATTAATCTATGTTCTACCACGTGGCTTTTACCTCCATCCCATTTTGTGTGTCTGACTTGTTCTGTGTCTGTCTGGCTTCTCCACCCTTCTTCTTCCCAGCATTCTCTCTGCTCCCCAAATCCTGCCAGCTGCTGGCTGTTTAGCTCATTATTAAACCAATCACTGTGACTGTCTTCCCACAGTGTAAAGGAGTACTCCACAGCAGCAGGCTAATGAGTGGTCATGTGACTGACTGGAGTTTGAAAGCCTCCTGTTTAAACAGCAGGCCTCAAAGCAGTAGTAAATGAGAAAACAATAAGCTACAAAATCACACATACTGAATTTTCTGGTTTGTGTTCTAAGGGGGAAATACTCTAAATATGCTATACCCAAAATATTGCCATTTTTCTCTGTCAGCTGATACTTTTTCCTACTCTACAATGCCAATTTTGTCATTAATTCTCTTTTTGTTTGAGACAGGATCTCATGTAGCATGGGAACTTGCTGTGTAGCTGAGGTTGACCTTGAACTCCTGATCTTCCTGCCTCTGTCTCCCAACTGTGGGACTGCAGTCCTGAGCCACCATGATTGGTTAGAATTTGTTTTTGATGAAGAAAACTTTTTCTTTTGTTTTGAGACAGGATCTTACTCTATTCCCCAGGGTAGCTTGAACTTGGAATCCTCATTACTTGGCGTCCAGAGTGCTTGGATTATAACGCTATGCCACCATGTGAAGCTGAGATTTTCTTTTCTTTTCTTTTCTCTTTTTTAAGAAATGAGTAGAAGCCTAGATATTTGTAGAATAAGTAAGAAAAAGTTTTAAAATACTACCAGGTTCACAGATGGAAAATAAAACCAGCCATTCTCTTTATTCTGCATTCCCATATCTAACTATTTAACATTTTCTTTATTGAGGATCAAAGAGAGAGGCTGTTGTTCTGTATGTATATGCCTGAGGTGGGGAAAAGCATTACAATTTGTGTTACAATTTGTAGGGACCAGTACAAGGCTCCATATGCAGGAAAGAGAAGCACTTCATAGGCAGAATGATGTCTAAAGGCTGGGTGTGGAAAGAGAGCTCAGAGAAGTCACCTGACTCAGCTTGGCGCTCACAAGGAGCTGGCAGCATTCATTCATTCATCACTCACATGTACTGATGTATTTATCTGTTTGGAGGGTCTCACTGTGTCTCACAGACTGTTCCTGAACTCACCGAGATCCACCTGCCTCTGTCTCCTGAGTGCTGGGATCAAAGGTGTGCGCCACCACACTTGGCCGTGATTTACATCTCTAATACCATACTTGTTTTCTTACCCATCTCTGAATGGAGCTAACGTCCAACTTCCCTCCTCGGTGCCCTAGCATAGTGGACACAGCAGTGTCAGCGGATAGTCCTGCGTCAAACCCCTGGGGCTCCTTTACCCACTCCCAAGTCTTGTTCCTCACTGCCTCCCATCAGCCCTACCTCATGGCTCCTCTCCACTCCTCTTAGAGTCAGGTCACTGTCTATGTGCCTGGATTATTGAATCCATGAGTCAGTCTCCCTACAGTTAGCCCTGACTTCCTCTTATCTGTTTTTCACACTGAAATAACATGTAACTCCCATTAATCTCTCCGTCTTGAATACTCCACTAAGTTCAAGGTGAAGTCCAGACTCCAGATGTGGCTCCCAAGACTGTCCTGCATCTGTCTAAGGCTCTGCTCCCTTTCTCATCTCCCATCGTGCCTTGTTCTCGCTGACAGCCAACGGAGATGTGCATTACAGAGGAAAAGAGAAAAACTATGACAGGGAGGGGGATGTGGGATAGAGGTGGTGGAGTAGAGGGAAGCGTGTTCTAAGAAGCAGCCTTGTCACTGCTAAGTCACAAACTCTGTAAAGTCTAGAAACAGGCCGGAGTCTGTTTAAAGCCTGGGACCTGGTCAACATGGTGTTCAATCAACACGAAAAAGTGAGGTTTCCGTGAATAGGACCATGACAACGGCTTACTTAGTTGGAAAAGAAATTAATGTACCCCAGTTTCCCTCCCTACCCCAAATAGCCACCAGTAAACTAAAAGCTTAAATGTAGAGCCACGTAAATGCTCAAAATTAAGCAAAATATTTGATTGGCTTGTGGCCTGGAACTCACTGTGTAGACCAGGCGTGGGCTGGTAGATCTCTGCCTGCTTCTGTCTCCCAAGTACTTTTTACCAACTGAGCTACCTCATCAGCCACTCTTTTGTTTCTTAGGGTTTTATTTTTATTTTTAATTATGTCTATGCAGGGGTGGTGGTGGTGGCGGTGTGTGGTGTGGAATGTGTACAGGTGCCTGCAGAAGCCAGAGGCATCAGATTCCCCTGGAGCTGGGGTTACAGGCAGTTGTGGGCTGTCTGACATGGGTGTTGGGAGTTGTGGGTTTGTGGACATGGGTGTGGGCATGCACAGTGTGTATGTGGAGGTCAGAGGACAACTCGGAGTTGGTCCCCTCTTTCTAATTATACGAGCCCTGGAGATCATACTGAGGATGTCTGGCTGAACAGCAGGCCCTTTCCCCTGGGGCCATCTCACAGGCTTCTGTTTGTTATAAAGTAACAGCTTTATTAGCAGGAATATGTGACAGCAGAGCACCTTTTAGAGTTTACGGTGACTGACTGTCTGTGCACCTTGTGCCCAAGCAGGCAGTCACCTGTCTGTTTAGTCTTGAGAGGCCCCCGGGCCTTCTGGTCATGCTGGGGGAGGGTAGCTTATCTAAAACAGAGCCTGGAAGAGCCTGTGTGCCTCATCATGGGAGTGTGTGGACTACATCTCTTTTGTAACCTTATAATAAATACTATAAGGTGATTAAATGTGGTGATGGAGGACTATAATTACTGATGTATATTCAGTGAGAAAAGGAGACCGTAAAACTGTAACAATGACTGTTTTATAGACATATATGTTGACCTATATGTTCATAAAAGAGACTCCTTAGAGTACCTAACATGGATATGTCTAAGCATTGAGTTCAGATGTTCTGATCTTGCTTATTTTTGAACAACTTGATTGAGATATACTTCACATATCATATCATTTATCTATTTAAGGTACATAGTGATGTTTATCACATTCCCAGGTTATGCACTCATCACCACAATTCTAGAACATTTTTGTTAACCCGGGGCCCACAACCTTATTTTACTTTCTATGTGTGGATTTGCCTATTTTAGACATTTCATATAAAAATTGGAATTATACACAGTATATGGTCCTCTGTAACTGACTTCTTACATTTAAATATAATGTTTTCAAGGTAGATCTATACCATAGCATATAATCAGGACTTCACTGGTCTTTATGTCTGTATAATTTTCCAGCATCTGTATAGATTACATTTTACTTATTGATTCTTCACTAGTGGACATTTGGACTCTTTGTACTTGCCAACTGTTATGTACAAGTTTTCATTTTTATTAAGTACATAGTGAAGAGTGGATATAGCTGGATCATATGATGATCCCATGTTTAACCATTTAAAGAACTTCTAGACTGTTTTCCAAAATGGGAGCAGGACCAATTTTACATTCCTACCAATAATGTATGAGGGTATCACTAATGTTTATTACCCATCTTATTCTTATAGTGGAGCAATAAGCTACCTTGTTTGTATTTTCTAAATTTTGTCTAAACATTTGTTACCTGTATAATTAAGAAAGCATTTCAGACACGAAGGGTGGGAATATGCTCACAGAGTCAGGCTAAGTGCAGAAAGCAGACTACAAAGTTGGTCATTCCAGATACCCCCAATACTATGAAAATAATTTGTTTAAAATAATTCCTTCACATGGCTGGCTGCCTCCCCTCTCCAGGCTCTGTGCAGCAATCTTGAATCTCTCCTTTCAGTTAGTCCTTATGAAGCTTCTTTAGTGTTGAGAAAGGACACTCCTGGAGGGGCTGTGTGACCATCCTGGTGTGCGAGTGACGATCCTGAATACTAGGGCTATAGAAGTTCTTCTTTATGTTCTAAGTATTTCCCCTTTCTCTTTCTGAGCACACAGTAGCCTCTGTCTGCCAGGCACAAGACATTTCAATAAGCTGCTATAATACCCTGAGATTGTGTGAGATTTAGTAATTACAATCAATGTAAATACATTTATCAGTCCTTTTGTTTCTATCCATAAAGGGCTTGTAACTCAGTATTCACTGCATTAGAGAAAAGTCAAGAAGCAATTGAAATTACAAGTGAAGACCACATTATACAGGTTTGTTATTTTGGAAATTTATGCTTATAGCTTCAATTTGTTTGTTCTCATTTTTAGGACAGTAGCCCTACAGTTTGATTTTTTTTTTCTTTTTTAAGTACAAGAGGGCACTTTTTCCCCCCTGAGGTGATTGTAAGAGCAAAATCAATAAAATATGTAATGTAAAATAAACTCTCTAGGTAAGAAAAGATAACGACTCCTTATGGTACTTAGAAATGTAGATATGCCAGGTCTTCTCTCATTCTTCTTCCTGGGGCGGTGGCTTTTGCTTAACTAGGAGCTTGTCTGTCAACAGGAGGGCTGCCTGCCAGGCGGCCACACGCAGGCTCGCTCCGCTCCGCTTCCATCTTTCCTCTCTGTTTTTGCAGGCAGGTTAAATGTATAGAAACTTACTCAAAACAGTTCAAATGCAGAAAGTAACAGACTAGACTACCATCGTTAGCAAAGCGGGTTCTGTAAGAGACAGATAGGTGTCTATAAAGATAGCATGGCTTTTACTAAAAGACGCAGCTGTTGGGGGTAACATTCCTCTAGTCTGGGAATGAACTCCATTGATTTCAGATCACCGAATCTGACTTACTATTTTGCTATTGGTGGTGACTTTGGGAGTTGGTGCCAAGAGGCAACACAGGCCAGGAGTTGAGGGCACAGGCTCTGTCTGCCTCAGCCGTGCATCTCTGGGCCAGTTACTTGATCCAGCTGAATCTGCTTTCTCTGACAAATGGGAGAGACAGTAACAGCAGCCACGTGCCTTTCATAAGGTTTGAGGATTACCCGAGTGGATGTGTGTAAAGTGCTCACTGTCTTGATAACCACTGCCAGTTTCTGCTTTATCATTTCTGACTCGTCGTTGTCACCAACACATGCTCGGCATTGGAACACTTTCCCTTGTCTTCGTTGTATTTGAAACTTGCATCTATAAACACTTCCCAGCTTGTCGCCTGCTTTCCACACACTAGTCATTTGAGTTAACCAGAAAGGCGTGTCCTCTTCCTCCCGACCAGTGAGCACTGGTGACTTGCAGAGGTCCGGGGCAGAGCCTGGGTGTGTTACAGCCCGGCCTGCTGCTTTAGTTCACTGTAGCAGCATCCGGGCAGCTCGGGGGCGGCAGCCTGGGTTTGTCCTGAGAACAGGCCTTCCTTGTCCTCCTCGAAGTTGGAGTGAGCCCTAGACAGAGCAGGAAGCCCAGCCATGTGCCATTCCAGCAGAAGCTTCTCCCGCACGAAGCTTCTGTGGCCCTGGATCATTGATGACAAAGCCCAGGCTGCTGCGGGCGGGGTGGTGCTTATGTGGAAGGCTGTTATCTTTTCAAAACATCTTCTGAGTTCACTTATTCTTTTTTCTTTGTCTCTTTCCAGTATGCAAACCCTGCATTTGAAACAACGATGGGTTATCAGTCAGGGGAATTGATAGGGAAGGAGTTAGCCCAAGTGCCCATAAATGAAAAGAAAGGGGACTTGCTTGACGCCATAAACTCGTGTATCACCATAGGCAAGGTGAGTGGGATGCTAGGACCGTTATCGCCTCCAGGTAAGAGGGGAGACGTGGTGTTCATTGGCACCTGTGGAGCAGGTGACCTCAGCCCTACCCTTTTCCCAGAAGTCCCTGTTACTCTCACTTTACAGATGCAGAAACCGAAGCCAAGAATGCAATATGATTAGCCAGTAAGCAGAGTCACTGGAATTGACCTTAAAATTGTTGTTTTTATCTGAGTGATGGGTGAATAAGTTGGTGTTTCTAATAGCTGATCTCTGAAGGGGTAGATGTTGGCACCTGGTTCTGGGTAAGGGTCGCCAGTTCGGCAGCACACCCTCAGCCATTCACTGAGCAATTCTCAAACTCCTGCTGTGTGCCAAGCTCCACGCTGAATTCTCCCTAGAAGGAGGATCAGAACAAGACCACCTCCCTCAGGGAGCCTGTTTTCAGAGCTGGAAACAGAAGGGATCGCTGTTGCAGTGTGAAAGGTTGTATGATCCCAGTGCTAAAGGAGCAGACCAGAGGCCGTGCAGCCAGCCAGACCTCCTCTGCTGCGGCCTGGCCGCACTGCCCTGGGGCCGGGCTTTTGGTGTGATGAGAAAAAGAGTCGGATCAGTTACCTTCCATTTTCTTGGTGAACGCCTTTGTTTTTCACACTTGAGAGAAGGCTGTGACGGTTACTGTGGCGGTGTGCTGCCGGCTGCCCAGGCCACAGTAGCCGTCCTTCTTCCCCAGTGCCAGCAGGCAGGGGCCATGCACAGGTTACACCTCTCTCGGCTGGGGGGGGTGGGTTGCACGGGGTGGGGGGGCACAGGGAATAGCTCCTGTGCTTTCCTGTGGCTGCAAGAACCAGAGATTGCCTTGAATTGGGAGCACAGAGGCTGGGCGTGGTGGCACTCACCTTTCATTGCCACACACCAGCGGCACAGGCAGGCCCATCTCTGTGAGTTTGGGGCCAGCCTGGTCTACAGAGTGAGATCCAGGACAGCCAGGGCTGTGTAGAGGAACCCTGTCTCAAAGTAAGCAAATGAAAAACAGAAGAAGAACCTAGAAAGAGCAGGCAAGGGCCCAGCAGCACACTCAGGACTCAGGATTAGCTAGGCACTGCCTGAACCCTCCTCCCTTCAAGTTTTAAAATCAGGGTGCTGTTTGTCTTACTAGAGTGGAGGGGCTTCTGGGGAGAGAGTGATAAAGACAGATGGACAGAGGCCTCTGCTCTGACGCACTGCCGTAGGTGACTGTTCTCTTCAGGGCTTTCCCAGAGCCGTTCAGTTCTGTCATTTTTGTCCTTTGGCGATACTTGGAGCCAGAGGCTCTGTTGTTGATTTGTTTTGAGATAGGGTCTCTCTCTGTAGACCAGGCTACCTCAACTCAAGAGATCCACCAGCTTCTCCTTCCCCAATACTGGGATTAAAGGTGTGTACCAGCATGCCTGCATGCCTGGCTTTTTTTAAGCCAGTGTTTTTATTGTTGGATCTCAGCTAGTCTGAACCCCTGCCAGGCATGCTGGATCCCTCTTACTGAGGAGGGCCAGTGGGAACAGGGCATGCGGTCAGTGTATCAGGCTGGTGCACACAGTACTTCCATTCTGCAGGATTGACACTGTTGGGGACCCGTGCAGAAAGCCTCAAATCAGAATAGCAGAAACTCCTCTCTAGAGACTTGGCATGATTATGAGCAAAACCCAGAAAGGCCAAGTGTTACTGGCCTATTTGCTACTCTGTTTCTGAAAGGAGTCTGGCCACTTAGGACATTTCCGAGCTTTTAGGGAGTGTGAAAAGGTGATTTTACCCATTGTCAATGACCTGTTGGTTCACTGAGGTGAGAGGGTAGACAGTCTGTCTGACCCAGTCTCTGTAGGGGAAGAGCTAGTGGAGGGGTCAGTGGCCTTGTGGAACCATCATGCTGTGGTCAGCAAGGACAGCTCAAATGTCCACTGGGTACCAATATGGCAGGGAGAGAAGATTCAGAAAATGGTCAGATGGCCAAAGCTGTAGGCATCAGGAAACCCTGGGCCAGAGGAGAAATCCCCATGCTATTGAAGCAGAGTATTACAGACACCCATCATGCCACAAACCTTCCTATCTCTTGCTCTCTTTGGGGTAGATAGAGAGGCTAACTTGATTTTTTAGGTTCATATGTATACTTCCTTGTATCCTTTTTCTTCTTCCCTGTAACTCCCCTGTCAGGGCCTTATAACCTCTGTCTTTCAGGAAGCTAAGCTTTACATGGCTTTCCCTGTCTAGACATCTTGACTTTCCCCTTTTGTTGCCCCACCCCTGGGACACACGTGCACATACACGCACACGCACACACACATATCCATCTGTGTGTCTGTCTGTCTATCATCTATCTACCTACCTGTCTGTCTGCCTGCCTATCTGTCTGTCTGTCTATCTACCTACCTGCCCACCCCTCTCTCTCAATGCAGGATAAATGTTGACTATTCAGATGCCTGTCAGTGCTGAGGTGTGGTCTCAGGACCCTTTGACCTTCCTTATTTCCTGTGATCCTTCCCCCTTCCTTGCTGACAAACTCCACTTCCCTCCTCTACTTCCCTTCTGTTTCCTCCACAAATTACCTGGACTCTGACCTTTACCCCCTTGCTCTTGTCCCTCAATATCCTGCTGTCACTTGAAATGAAATTGTCAGACAGTGATCTTCCTCTCACCCTCCATGAACAAAAACCCCAGTATGTTTTCTAGTCAGTCCCTGTCCATAGGCTGTCCTCACAGTTACCTTGTCCTAGATCCCTGAAATAAACTGATCCCGCTGTCTTTCGCCTCCTTCAAGCCCATCACCAATCCCTCTGGCCGCTAACTCCCTTGCTTTGAGTGTGTGCTGTTTGCCCTGATCTGCTCCAGGACTTCCTCACACTCCTGCAATTATGGAGGCCAAATCCCTCCACCCTGTAGAGTGCATGGCTGGTCTTAGTGAGATAGCTTTCTATCATGTTGCCCCCTTAGTATAGTGTGCAGATTGCTTAGCCTGGTGACGAGGATTCTGTAGTTGACCTCAGCCACTCCGTAAACAAAGGCCTCATGTGTTCTTTGATTGTTTACCATGGGTAAGCATTGTGCCAGCCCTGGGGACAGGACAGCTGGATGACAATGACTTAATTTTATGACAGTGATTGCCAAAGGGGCTACATCAATAGCCACAGAAGCGCAGCCTGGTATGTAGCCTGTGCCAGACAGCAGCAGGGGAGCCTGGGCCTCACTGTGTGCAGCGGGGCGCTCACTGGGGACAGGACTATGCAAGAGTACTGCACCCCAAACTGGCTGGCCGCGGAGCTCACCAGCTGTCGGCCTTACCAACTAGAAATCTCTATGACTACATTCTAAGGAAGTACATTTCTTCCCAGGAATTCATAACTGAATGTTTTTGTATTTGTGATTAGTAAATATGGTTTGTGCCAAGTACATTTGTTTTATTTACATTGGCGACCCCAAAAACTTAGATTTAACATTGTTCCCCCCGCCAAGTCACTAACTTGATCATCTGCTCCTTTTGGGGACTGTAGTGCTGGTGTGGCCTGTAGACCTTGGCTTGGGTCTGTCAGTTGTCTGAGTTGATTCAGAAAGAGCTAGAGAAGAATATGCTGAATCTGTTTTTCAATGTGCTAGTGTCTTGATCGTATTGACCTGCTGTTTCTTCTCTTTGTTTTCATATAATGTAACAGTTCTCTTGGGATGTAATTCTCACACAACACAACTCACTCATTTAAAGTGTATAATGCATAGCACTTGGGAGGCCAAGGCAAGAGGGTCACTGCAAGTTTGAGACCAGCCTAGTCTGTGTAGCCAGGCCCAGGCCAGCCAGATTGCCTAGTGCGAACCCACCTCAATCGAGCCACCCAAACTACATATCCAGTGATTAAGTATATTCCTGTAGTTGTGCAAACGTCAAGTGTCCCACATTGCCTTTGGTGGTGCTCTTAGAGCTTCTACTTCCAGGGTGACCCCATGGGCTGTGGAGATGAGGACTGCCTTCTTGCTTGGGGATCCCTGCTTAGTCTTTGCTGGTTTGGGGCCCAGCCTGTCTCTGGGCTGGCTGCACCCACAACTGAACTGTTTGTGACCTGTTCCTCTGCTGAAGCACTCAGTAGACAGAACTAGCTGTTTTTGACATGGTCCTAAAAAATGATTGTTTTCAGAATTGTGTCACCCAGCAATCAATAGTACCTGAATGTCTTAGAGCTCTGGGTCCTGAGAGTTCTGAAGGGCCAAGAACACATCTGGGTGTTGTCCCAACAAGGGGTCAGATGATAATGACAAATCCCTAGCTGCCCCCATCACCCCAGAGGAAGGTGTGCCCTGTTTCCTCCACAGCCATGCCCTTTCCTGTCGAAAGCATCCGTGGCTGTACATGGGAACTCTTAAAATCATAACCCCATGCTTTTCAGCCTCACCTTGTTCTCCTGCTGCCCGAGCTCAAGTCTGAGCTCAAGGGTCATCCCATCCCTTGGGGGACTGAAAACCCCCAAATCCAGAAGGACTAAAGCCATTCAGAGTAACAAACTAGTGGCAGCCACAATACCACATTACCACAGTAATGGCCACAAACTGCTCTTCTGTGCCCTAGTCCTGAGATTTCTCCTGCACTATGTACCAAGGCAAAGTGCTAATTCCCGTCTTCACTTCTGCCAGCAGGAGTTTAGAGAGGTGGCATTAATGCATTGAGTGAGGGGGTTCTCTCTTGCCAGCAGATGACCATGGGACATGTGACCACTTACACTGAGGTAACTTGACCTTTGTCAAGTGGACTTGAGAGGGGGGAGGAATCTCAGGTTACTTGAATTACATTTTGAATTGGAATCACTTTTTATCTTAAGTTCTTACATGGTGATTAAATGAATTGGAACCAAAATGGAAAATGTTCCTGGGTTTATGTTTTAAACCCAAAGTGTAATGATGCTTACATTCTATTTATAGGAGTGGCAAGGAGTTTACCATACCCAAAAGAAAAATGGAGATAATATACAACAAAATGTGAAGATAATACCTGTCATTGGGCAGGGCGGGTAAGTGCAAACAATGGGCTTCAATCAGCAGTCCGTGTTTTGAATTTGCTTTGAATTCCTAAGTCAACTCAGACCTGCTCACAGAAGTGGAAAAGGATTGGAGCAGGGCCAGGTGCCTCAGCATGGCTTTCCAGGGTGGTGGCTCCTTGAGGACCGGCCACCTGACTTGAGACAGTCTTCTTTATGCGGTGTAGATTGACAGAAGACGTCAGTGTTTATATTCAGATCACAGTTTACCTGTGTGTATAAGCGTTTCATCTAACTGGAAGTAGTCATTCTTGCAAAGGCCTGCCACACCAGGGAAAATACTTTGGATGCTAACAGATATGTTAGGGCTGGAGAGCTGGCTCACTGGGGAATGTGCCTGCTGTACGAGTATGAGAATCTGAGTTTAGATCCTTAGCAACCCTCCCCACACAGCCCGTGTGGCCTCATGCCGGAAACCCCATCACTGGTGGGTGGACATCCTGGGGTCTGGCTGGCTAGCCAGTCTAGCTGTGAAATGGTGAGATCCAAGTTCAGTGAGAGATTCTGTCTTAATAATAATTAATAATAATAATAATGAGGAGGAGGAGAGGCAATTGAGGAAGACATCACAATGTCAACCTCTGCCTCCACACATGGCCACATAGGCAAGCATGCATGTGCTCACATACATATATTGTAAATCATAAATATATATCAAGAGCCTAAAATTTTTAGATGCCTTGTCTCAGAACCTATTCAAAATAATAGAGAAAGTTTCTAGAAAATTCTGAGTATGAATTACAGAATACCCAACAGTAAAATACAACTTTTGTAAATGATGATCATGGAAAATTAAGTTGTAAGGAAAAAACCTTACTATACTGTTAAATGCAAAGTATAAAGTCAGACCCAGTGTATGATGCATTCAGGAAAGGAAAGGAGGTAAGAGAGGAAGTGTGGCCCACAGTATCAGGCGCTACCTCTGTCCTCTAAGCACTTCCCTCTCGAGTCAGGCTCCTGGCTATTGGGAGATGCCGATTCATTTCCTTCTGAGTGCAGCTCTGTTTTGTTAGCACAGCACACAGTGGTGTCTCCACTTCACACATGTGGAAACTGAGTCGCAGAGAGGTCTGGTTTCTGGCCCCAGCCCCGGCTGCCATGTATGATGGTGCCTGGTGCAGCCCTCAGTGCTGAGCGCTCAGCTCCTCGCGTGCTGTGTCAGCAGACTTGGCTGCCAGTTGGTGACTGCCTCAGGGAGGCAGAGCTATGGGAGCTCTCTGTTCGGACTCTTTGCTCTGTTATGTCCTCTCCAGTTTTTGTTTTTGTTTTTTTGTGATAAGTATATAGGGATTTGATTATGGGGGTGGGGTGAAAAAAACTGAGGAACAATAAATAAATGGGACAAGTCAGCGCTTCTGTGCTCAGCCCTCGTCGCTTTGTTTTAGACGTTAGCTAACTGAGGCTAGCAGGGACCTCAGCCTGTTGTGGCCTGTGGCTGTCTCCATGCGTGGCTGTAAGCAGCCTGCTGGAACTCAGAGCTTTAGTATAAACACTTGTCAAGATGGCGTTAGGGAACCAAAGGCTAACGTGCAGTACTCTGTTAGAAGCATATGTATCTGTCATGTATTGTCTGTTGTCATAACCAGGGAAGTCACTGCTTTTTTCCAAAGTCATAAGAGGGTGTTTGTAAAGTTCTGTTCATCAGTTGGTGGCCTTGCCCTCCCCCCCCAACAAATACACAAAAATTAGAAAAAAAAAAATGCTCTCAAAGCATTTTATATATTGCTAAAGGGAAGTATTCATTTCATAATGAAAAATTAACTGTTTATACCGAACTAGAGTCAGGAGAAAACTAAGGCATTGTTTTCTATTCACAGGAAAATTAGACACTATGTGTCCATTATCAGGGTGTGCAACGGCAGCGATAAGGTAAGCAAGGTGCCCCGGACCTGCGTTCCAAGCAGGATGCTTAGGCGATCAAAGCTAACGGCCTGTAAAATTTCTTTTCAGGTTGAGACAGTAACTGAGTCTGTGCCGATGAACAGTCAAGCAGGTATGAGGCCGTGTATTCGTTCTTGAGGTTGAGTGTTGGGAAACTCACAGATTCGTTCTTTGATGGGCCTGCTCTGTACAGTGGTGTTTGCACAGGACCTTGTTCTCCTAGCGCCGACGACACTACCCGGCGTGGTTTGAGGTCAAGGATTTGAGTGCTGTGGGCATCTCGACAAGTGCCTGGGCTGGGTGCTGGCCTTTGTGGGAAGAACTGATGATGCAGCGCATGGCTCGTGTGCATGTGTGTGGGGTGGAGCATGATTTTACAACCAGAACTGAGCTTTAAGAGGCAGACAGAGTTGAGTGGTGCCCAAGTACTTTAGCAGGGCCACCTTCCTCTGTCCTGACAGTTGTGCCCACCATCCTGCGGGCAGGTGTGGCCTGTCTTCTGATTATTGCTCAGATGCCGCCATTTGTCCTGCTGCACAGGCCTCTTCTCTGGCTGGGAGTGCTTTTCTCCTTCAAACCTAAGTCATGGTTGCCAGCGGCTTCCTGCTTTCGCCCTCACACACAAGGGGATGGACTCTGGGGGCTTTCCTTCAGGCATGCAGAAGAGGGAAAACATGGTATGTGTTCCAGAAGGAGGAGTGTGTAGACTGGCAGAGTAAGTCAGGATAAGGAGTTGGAATTAATCATAGTCCTAAAGGCCAGGTAGGAAATCGGGCTTTTTATTCATAGGCAGTTGGAGTCTCTGAAGGTGTCGGAGTAGGGGATATTACGGAGACACTTGAGCTCTAAGAAGTTCTTATATTGTGTCGAAACCATTCACATGGAAGGATGTGTTGGTCACATTGTGACCGAGAGGAGAGGAAACACTGGCCAGGAAAATGAGATGACAATAAGAAGGGGAGCGGGAACAAACTGATGGGGTAGGACTGGGAAGAAGACTGAAGCCTGGAGACGGAGGGTGTGGTCAGGACTGGGGAGGTAAACATGGACCACTTTACCTGTGCCGTCCTGTTTATTGCTGTACAGATTTATAGTAAACATCTGCCGGTCACTGGCTCCTAGGCTCTTCAAAGAGGTAAGAACTTGAGATGCAGATGTTTCTGACCAGAAAAGCACCAGCAAGTGATGACGGCGTGGGACTGCTGAGAGGGAGCCCGGGGTGTGTGTGGAAGTGGGAATGTCACAGTTGCTATGGAAGAGAATGACAGTGGACATGTGAGGCAGATCCCTAGTGAGCCCCTGAGAGAAGAGGAGAAGTCAGGCAGAGAAAGGAGTCAAAGCGGGGAGGCAAGAGTGTACCCCAGCAGCGGAGGGCGGGGACAAGTGCTGCCTGGTCAGGGCTGGGTGGCCCAGAGAGCGCAGGACATGGGCACTTGGGCAGGAATGCCGGGACTCTGACTTACATTTGAGAGCGCTCAGGCTCAGTGGAGAGTGAGGCAGAAGCCACGCTGCAGGGAGCTGTGGAGTGAGAACTGAAGTGGCCGACGGGGCCTGCCTGCCACGGCAGGAGCTCTGTGCTGCAAGTCCACAGAGCACGTTGCTGGGGGTTTGCTCGTGGTGTTTTGTTGGTTTTAGTTCTTCAGAATAGCCCTGCAAAGTGGGCATGACCGTTATTAACACTCCTTTACTACAGAAGAAAAAACAAGAGTCAAGGAAGTTAAATGATAGCTTAGAGCTAGGCAGCTAGGAAATGAATGAGCGGGGCTCGGGTGGCCGTCGGTGACGGTCAGAGGACAGGCTCGGGTGGCCGTCGGTGACGGTCAGAGGACAGGCTCGGGTGGCCGTCGGTGACGGTCAGAGTACAGGCGAGGTAGGAATCTACCCAGTGTCACGGCGCTGCACCGTTTGTACCTGTGTGATGAATGAATGCTCCCTAGGAGCTGCTGCCGTCACCCAGGTGAGCCACCCACCTGATCTGTGCATCCCTGGGCAGCCCCCTGAAGGTCTGGGGGCTGTTTGGCCTCAGTGGGGCAGGTGGGCCATCAGGCCATGGACAGCAGAAGTCAGTCTTCAAGCAGAAGTAGGGCTTATCAGAAGGAAATAGAACCCCTTAAGATTGGGCCAGAGTCGGGAGCCAGGGGACGCCAGGCAGCTGTCCCCTCTGATCTGGGCGTTGCCATGGGAACAGCATAGCCGGGCACCACTGGCTCTGGCGAGATCCAGGTTTGGGGCCTCACTTCTTGTTTCACTTGTTCCAGGGCAGCTCTGAAAAGGTGCTCACTTGACCTAGGTCACCTGCTACTTAGGTGCGGAGAGAGGGAGTCCCTGGCCTCCTTCCTCTGTAAAGGGAGGTCCTGAAACTCCCCAATCGAGAGAAAGATGTCTGGGGGCCTAGGAAATTCCTAAGGTCCTCACACGTTACATTTCTCTTAGCCTATGTGTAATTTTGGGTGATGCTGTACCTCACTACAACAAAATGGTTGTAGTGTTGGAGAATAAACGTTGATTGCTCTGGCTTGCCGTCACATGACAAGCTTTGGTTTAGGCAGAAGAGGGTGGGCCCAAGGCCTCAGGTACTTCACAGGTCTTCTTACGGCTGGCAGGGCTGGAACTGTTGCTTATCGATGTCACATCACAGTTCTCTGAAGAGATGCAGAGGTTCTTGGATCTCTAGAAACAGAAAGCCTTCTCAGGAAGAGTGGCGAGGACCATTGTCTGAGATTGGAGGTAGCCAGGGAGCTTGGGGCTGGCGGGTGGTACTTCTCTCTCACAGGCCTGCCCTGCTGAGGGCCTGAGGGCACACACTGCAGTCTGCAAGGCCCCAGCACGGGAACTTGTGGGCATGTTGGCTAAGATACCTGCTTCAGCTTTCTTGTATCCAGACTGGAGTTCCTGCTTCTAGGCCAAAGGGTTCCTGCAATTAGGGTGCAGACTGGAGACAGTGTCTTCCATTGCCCAACACTGCTTCTCCAGAATTCCCTGGATTGCCCTGTCAGGCCACAAAAACGTTAATGTCTCTGAAGAGATGAGCAGAGTTTAAGGACCCCATTTTCTAGGACAGAAAACCAAGAGCAGAGTTGTAGACAGTCATGGAGGCCTATTTCGAGTTGTTTCCATGTACAGGCATGATACCTTATCAGAGTGCTGTGTTATCTGTTGAGCACCCACTGTGTGAGCCCTGGCCATGGTGCTTCTTCAGGGCTTGCAGTCTCTTAGGAATGTGGTCCCCTGGGTGTGCCCTAAAGGCTGCATCTGGGAGCTGGGCCCAGTCCAGGACTGTACGGTCCACCTCGACTGGCTGGGTGAAAATTGTCCCTGAGTCACTTATAAAGGGCTAAGGGACACAGTGGGAGCAGCATTCCTGATGGGGTTGTTGGGGGCAGAGGAACTAGGATTTATGAAGAAATGAAGTAACTTGAAAGTGTTGCGGTGGCAATTGGATCTCCTTGCACCCTGCTCCCTCTGTTTGCCACAGCCACAGCCCCATCCTGATCTCACGGTGCTTTTCTGCCATAGTCTGTTCTCCCTCCAGTTGACAATATTAGTATAATTCTGCTCCCCTGCCTTGCTCGGCTCTAGACCACCCCCCTTTGAGGATATGACTTTAACATATCCATCCACATATCCCTGATGCTGCAAGGGAACATCTGAAATATCTGACTTATGATAAGAGAAGGGCTCATTTATTTTGGCTCACATTTTGGAGGCTCTGGCCCATGATCATTTAGCCTTGTTGCTTTAGGCTTTCGGTGAGGCAAACATGGCAGGAGCGTGTGGTCAAGTGAGATCACTGCTTCTTGGCCCAGAGCAAAATAAAGAGAAAGGGAAGAGCCTGAGAAGATCCCGAGGTGACCTAAAGACCTCTTACTCGGTTCCATCTCTTAAAGGCGCCCTGCATCCCTTGACCCTGTGCCCCGCTGCCTAAGCTCTCATAGCCATTCCTCAAGGAACATGTAGGGAACAAAGGGGGCAGTGTGACATTCATAGGACCGAAAGCATCATCCTGATTGGGAGGGACAGTCTCTGAACACATGAGCCTTTGAGGGGTAGTCAAGATCTAAACCACAGCCCCAGTCTTAGGTGCTGTCACAGGGCAAGTGCTTGGGAAATGTTTGCAGGGTGGATGAAAGAGAACAGAAATAATTCACAGTCCAGCTCACTAGACAGTGGTGTAACCATGAGTCATGGTGAAGCCCTGAGAAAGGAAAGACACTCATCACTACATATGGTCGAGAGGAGGTGCCACTCGAAGGAGTGAGCATCTTGAGCCAGTGTAGTGTCACCTCAGATGAGAGGAGCAGATGTCAGGGCTGCTCCAGAAGTGTGAGCAGAGCAGCTGGGCTGACAAGCTCCAGACCAGAGAGAAATGAAAGGCAGGCTGTTGTGGGCAGGCTACACCTTTGAAGGCCAGGGAGGTAATCTCCTCCTGGAGGATTCTGAATAGCAAAGCTAGAGTCAGGGTGGTTCCACACATCGGCCCTTTTATCTGGGCACAGGATTGTGCAGGTGTCAAGTAAAGCAGGCGTGTGCTTACTGAGCATCTGCTGTGTGCTTGATGTGTCGCTGGCCGCCACAAAAGACGGCCCTCAGATTGCTCACAGTTGTCTTGACAGACAATAATAAAGCCAGTTAGTTGCCTTCACTTACGGGATGAGGAGACATGTGGGAAGTTTCCTGAAGGTTAAGGTACCCAAATTGTATCTTCCTAGAGAAGCAGAGTTAACTAGGGAAAGGAGGTAACGTGAGAAATGGGCATTCTTAAGTAAGTAGTTTGTAGCAGGGTGTAGAGGTGGGGGGGGGCATGAACCGATAAAATATAAAGACTTCTTGGGGGTCTAGAGAGTCAGGGCCAGCTCTGTAGGATTCCGAGTGCCACCCTTGGGAGTTGGATGCTGACCCTGAGGACTGATCAGCCAGGGATGCATTATGATTAGGAAGGATCTGATGAGATGGTGTAGAAGGCTCTGTGGGCTGCCTGTAGGGAATTGGTCAAGTGGGTAGGTCCTGTCTGGTGACTGGGGGTTCAACGGAGTTAGAAAGGATAAGTTCATTTTGGTTGAGTTAATTTGCAATAGCTAAAAAGTATCCAAATGGAGATGGCCAGTGACCCATCGAGATGTAAGTCTGGAACTCAGGAGAGGATGGGGTAAAACGGCTACATGGAAGTTAGATAGAGCTGCGAGAAGCAGTGAGGGTTCTTTGAAGGAGGTTGTGCTTGCTCCAAAGAGAAAGGAGTGAGGCTGGAACCTCTGGAAGCCAGCCTTTGACACTGCCCGGGGCGAGGAAGAGGGGAGCACGAAAGGATGGAAGGAGGAGTGAGGCGGACAGAGAACCAGGGAGTGTGGTTCTGCAAACAGAAGTGGCCAGAAAGAGGGCTCCCTTGTGTCTAGCAAGATGTCAGCAACAAGGAGGTCCTCCTTGTTACACACATGCACATAGAGAAGATCCAGGCCGTGGTGGGTCAGGAAGCAGAGCTCTGAACGTAACTCAGCGGTAGAGTGCTCACCTCGCCTACTCAAGGCCCTAAGTTCCATTCCCAGCACCACAGGACAAAACCAGGTGCAGAACCTTCCCCGTGGTGCAGAGGAGCACTGGGGCCCTGCACTGGGACCGAGCCTTGTGAGCAAGGCAGAGGCGCACGACCCCCTGCTGTGAGGGGTGGACTCAGGGCCTGCTCTGCCACTCCTACACTCACCTGCTGGTCGCTCCCTGGTTGCTTTTGTGTGAGGTGGGGACATAAATTGTTGTGCACTAGTCATCAGCACCACACTAGGCACCCACAGGCACATGGAGGGGTGGCAGGAAGGGTGGGCTCGCTTTGTCAGTGAGCAGATGGAGCAAGGGCTGGGGAGGAGCCATAGAACTGTTATTTGGAGTCTACAATAGCAGTGGCATCTTTTTTTTTTTTTTTTTTTGAGACAGGGTTTCTCTGCGTAGTTTTGTGCCTTTCCTGGAGCTCATTTGGTAGCCCAGGCTGGCCTCGAACTCACAGAGATCCGCCTG